AAACACCACTAAGCTTGTCTTTGCAGTAATTATGTGCTTCTTAACTAGTCTAAGAAAATTGAGAGTATAGGACTACCACTGAAGAACATGTGCTTCATACCACCTATGGGACTTTTTTTTTCAAAAGACTAGAACCCAGCTTATATATTTTAAAAATAGCCCCTTCTCTTTGAGGTTAGGGGAGGAAAATATGCACATATTCCAAAAAGTTCTTTGTGTGAACAGGTGACCTCTTCCGACAGTCTCTGCAATTAATTGAGAAATTAAAGTTGGTTGGCCTTTGAGATCTCTTGGAAAAAAAAAAGGCAGAAGGTCTTGGATATTTTGGAACAAGAGTCCACTATTCTGTCAAGACAGTAATGTTATTGTTATTGGAGTGTCTCTCAACAAAATGGTATTGAGTGGTGAGGACGTGATTTTGATTAGGTGGAATGACTCAGCTCTTCCCTTAAAGAAGAGAGGACTTGTCAGAGCCTTACTTACCTCATGATCTGGGATCTCAGATGATAGTGTTTTCCCTAGTATGACCCCGGTCAAGTATGTCCAGCATCGAGCCGTGTTGGCAAGGTTGTAACCTCCTGTCTCCATCGAGAATTGTGAGGTTAGGAAAGAATAGTCACAAAACAGCAGGAGAGGGAAGAGGAGTAAGGAAGGAGAGAAAAATGTTTTAAGAGAAGGGCTAAAAAGACAACTCCAATGTGCAAAATTTCACCGAAATATCCCTTTATGATATTTTTAAACCACCTATCAGGCAGTCTTTAGTGGACCAGTGAGATCATGCACAATGCAGAACTGGGAAGTCCAAGGTGTACACAGATTAAAGAAGCTGTCATCGCTACACAAATATGCACCTGAGGAATGCAAGCTCCACAGTCCCATGAAGAGCTATTAGCAAGATTTAGATCCCTGAAACCCAATCTCTTGAGATGACCTACCCAATGTGAAGGTTTCTGTGATGCATTTTGCAACAATTTCATAAAATGACTGCTGGGTGTGATTTATATTTTAAAGCTATTGGAAGATACAGCATTAAAAAAAATCCAGGAAATAGAAAATGAAAACGGTGACAGAAACAGACTTCCTTCTTTTAATATTAACATTCCTTTTTCCTACAAAACACAGGTGGCAGAGAGCAAAGATAACTGAGATGATGAAGGCTCTGTTTATTGATGCTTTGATCCATCTTATCAGATCTTGTCACAGTCATCCAGCAGCCATATTATACTATCTAATAATCAGCATATTTTTTTGTGCTAAAGAGATGTGCTCTACCATGTAAACATTAGAACATTGGCTTTCAGCTATATTCCAAGACTGTAGGGGTAAAATAGAATGATTTCCTAATACCAACACAGCTTACAGGAAATAAAAACAGGTCTATTCAGGTAGGGTTGACCATATTATTGTCAAAATGGTTTGCTTTTAAGAGTAACAGATGACATTATTAATAATTACACTGGAATAACAGGTATAAACCGGGACACATATGGTCATCCTTTTTGAAAAGCCTTTCTATTACATGAAAGGTAAGGGATTCAGGCGTTTCTGGAGTGTGTCTTTTAGACCTCAACAGGATCCACTAAGGCTTAGGGATGTGGCTCTCTCTACTAACTGTATATTTGTTTTTAGGGGCTCAGAATTTTTAATTTTTAGGGGAAAAAAATGGAAATAGCAAAAAGAATGCCCTAAAAGCAAACTCCCTGCTAAATATTACTGGTATTATTCCCTTTAAATACCTCTAACATGGAAAAATCTGAATTTATAAGATATATGTACTGTGTATGATTATTTAATTTCAAAAAGTGGCTATAGATTCTGTTTAAATAGCAAGCTCTCTTTGATGCTCATAAAATACAATTTGATTTGCAAAAATCCCTTTTATGCACAAGTATTTTCAGGAATAAACTTGTTTCATAAGAAGAGGTATATTCATATATTCAAAAGTCAAATTTAGGCTGACAAACCAGAGGCTTTTGAGAATAACAGGCTCTTTAAGTAAAAGGCTATTGCCTCAAAGAAAAGTAGAATTCTCACATATCCATATTGTGGGAAGATCTGTTTTTCTTCCTGTAACTGTACCTGAGATGAGAGTGGTTGTTCAATGGTGGATCTCTCTCCTTTCATGTGGGAGACTTGGGTTTGATTCTTGGCTAATGCACCTCAGGCATAGCTCTTACTCATCTGTCAGTGAAGGTGTGTGTGCTGCTATGGAGCTAACAGGTTTCAGCAGAGCTTCCAGACTAAGAAGGACTACAAAGAAAGGCCTGACAATCCACTGAAAATCAGCCAATGAAAACCCTATGGATCACAATGGTCTGATTTGCAACCACTCATGGGGATGGTGCAGGATTAGTCAGCATTTCATTCCATTGTGCACAGCATCACCATGAGTTGGGGGCCTATTCGATGGCAGCTAACAACCACCACCACCACAATTACTGTATCTGTATCACAATCACAATCTTTAGTGCCATCAAGGAAAGTAATATGTCACACATATGGCCAGTTTTTTCAGAAAAGAATGGCCCCTTCCATCTTTGATATGTCACTCAGTACTTATCAATTTGCTCTTTTCCTTGGGTTAAAGTCAATATATTTTTTCCCCAGCTTTTCACCCAATAAGTGATTGTCTCTTATAAGCACCTATAATTTTGATTTTTGTAAGGTCTGAGGCTGCCAAAGGGCCAGGCTTGTGTATCAGTATTGACTGCTCCCTCACTTACATAAAGCCTCCCTCCACTTCTCCTAACATACCAATCCATTTATCCAATGAAATAAAAGGTTGTGTCAGGTAGTAGACAGAAAAATTCTAAGCAAGGCATCTTCAAAGGTGATTTGCTTTAGGAAAGGTTTCTTTTACAAATGTATAAATGTATAAATGCTTCTATTGAATAGACCCACCTTTCTGTTGGTCAAGTAATACAAAACATTAGTATACACTGAAGGGAAGAATATCCAAGAGACTCTGAAATTCTAAATTTTGCTTCATTGTAATAAATTCATGTTTGTTTGTTTGTTTGTTTGTTTTAGGGGGCTGTTCCTGAACTCAGATATTTACTTCATGTGTTTACTACTTACATGTAAGTAAAGTCAGAATTTTTGTATTATGTTTCCAAAAGATGATTATTAGAACTTAGAATCAAAGATAATACTGAGAGAAGATAGATCAAAGTTCACTGGGGTTAACACCCTATAGTCTTATAAGATCTGCAGTAACCTTTAACCAAAAAACTTTTGCTCTAGGAATTGAAACAGACTTCAGAGTGCCAAGCTGAGCAGTGTGTCAGAATACTTCCTTTACGCTGAGCTAAGGAGTTGAAAGATTTAATTGACACAGGCTCCTGGGCCACAAGCAGGTTGGTATTATTCAATCTAAGCAAACCAAGTTTAGCTCAGTGTCAGTGGAAAAAAAAAATGTGAAGGAAGGTCAACAAATTCTTCTCTGAGCTTTTTTGTACTCACCTCCTCCCAAAATGAGTGTTGCCAATTGCCACTGAAGGATGTACTTAAGACACTTGCCAATTCCCACTGGAGTCATGTTAAAGGAGCACATGGGATCTCCAGCTATTGTATCAGCTCCCAGCTGTACGACCACTGCTTTGGGATTAAAGGCTATGTATACCTCCTTTAGTACACTGTAGAAAAGAGAAAGGATATAAAATGTCACAAAAAGGTTAGTCAGTTTGGTCTGGAGGTGATGGTAGTGGTGGAAAAGTTGGGGGTGTAGTTAAATCAGCAAACTGTTCCAAACCAAAAAGAAAAAAACCAAACACATTGCAGCCAAGTCAATTCTGACTTACAGTGACCAAACAGGACAGAGTAGAACCAAAGCTGTAATCTTTATGGAAGCAAACTGCCACATCTTTCTATCATGGAGTGGCTGGTGGGTTTGAACCACAGACCTTCTGGTTAGCAGCTGAGTTGCTTTAACCACTGTGTTACCAGGGCTCTTTTTATACCTTAATAAACCTGACTTAAGAAAAAACAAAATTTTCTCCCCATCTCCATCCTCTACTAGGAACACATTTGCCCTTTAAATATTCATATTAATTTAAATGGTCTTAGGATATAGTGTACACATTTTCTCCATTTTAAAACCTAGGAAAACAAGATAGATACATAGAATAATTAAAGATTATTTCTGGTAACTTAAGATTGCAAATGCACTTGGAATTTATTACTTACTTATCAATGGGGCCTCTGTTTGAGAAGTATATGCTTTGGAAAGCATAGATGTTATCAGTTTACTTTTTATTGTACAAAAGGAATCCAAGGATATGAGATATTATCCTCTCAAATTCATATGTAATCAGGGTATTATAGGGAAGGGAATTGTAACAATTGATCCAGAAGTATAAACCGGAAAGCACCCTAAAGAACAAATTATACTTAGCAATGATGACCATAATTTTGGGAAGAATCATTCAATGCTATCAAATCAAGCTAACTGATTATTGCAATAAAGCCTTATAGTTCAAAGGAAGATGTCAGTGTGACAGATGACCTTAGTAAGGCTTCCAATATTACATTAATCAAACACTGAAAATGTTCAGAATGCATTCCTGAGTTTTAAGGGTCCTGTTCTCAAGGGGCTTACAATCTACTTCCTAAACAAAACGCAATCTACAATCTACTTCCTAAACAAAACACAGGAGCTCTGGTAGCATAGTGGCTAAAGCACTTGACTGCTAACCAGAAGGCTGG